CCACCAGCCGCCGCTTCCGGAGCGGCGGGCGCCAGCTTAGGGCGGGGCGCCATCTTAGGGCGGGGCGCCATCTTAGGGCGGGGCGCCATCTTAGGGCGGGGCGCCGCGCCTCCCCCCGCCCCGCTCGCGGTGACGTTTTATTTACAAAATTTCAAGGTTTAGGTTAAAAAGAAATAAACAAAAGGAAAGGGGAAAGGTGCAGGCTGCTGGTAGGAGCCCTGGTGGCTGGCAGAGCAGTGGCCATGGCTAAAGCTGCGCCAGCACTGGCCGTGCAGCCCCTTTGCTTCAAAACAGCAGTGGTGATTATACAAAATACAGTGGTGATTCCCAGTCCCTGCCTTGTCGAGGCTTTGGAAGAAAGCACAGAAAGGATGGAAATGGGCCAGGCCCAGCTCCTGTCCGCGCTTCCTTGGAGGGGCAGCAGGGGACACCCAAGAACTTGGTCCCTAGAAAAGGCAGATGCTGGCAAGACAAGAGGGATAACCTAACACATGTATTTTTAAAAAGTGCAATGTATTAATAAACGCTTTTTAGATATTTTGGTCTCGGTTAAGGCTATTACAACAATAACAGTTCTGTAAACCACACAGAAGGTTGTCATGAAAACGTAAAAAAAAAAAAAAATTAAGGCAACACACATTGACCCAAATTCACCGTTGGTCCTGTTACAGTCCCTTGTAAGGCAAATACAAAAAAGGCACGGCAGCAGAATTGGGGCCATTAACTTCTTGTTCACTCAACCCATGTGTTTTACTCAACGTAGATGTATGTTCTACCTTCTTTGTAGGGCTTTTAATTTAAGTGAGGAATATTACTTGTTTTAAACAACCTTGTTTAACCCTTACAGTATTGTACATTTCCTGACCGCCTTCCTCGCGGTCCCTTAAGAGTATGAACGAAGTCACAGCCTTCAAAGGGTTAAAGCCAAAGCTGCAGTCAACTTGAGAAAGAGTCCAGACAGTTTAAATATTTCACTTCTCTGTACAGGGAATGTGAGAGTAGGGGTCCGAAAACCTCCGTTTTACTTTTGCTGTTGGTTCATATTCGTCCAAAAGTTCCTGAGCGTGGGCCAGTGCAGACCCTTGTGCAATGTAGACAGAGTGGATTTTATCAGTTCGCCTTGCTGGCTGCTCCCTTCGTCTCACAATTATTTGAGACTCTTCATTAGCTGAAGTCCTGCCCTGGGATTCTGTACACTTGAAAATCCCAGGAGGAAGTTTTATATTTGCTACTGGCATCACTGGAGTTCGACGGGGCACTTTAATCTTGGTCAGTGTTAAAGATGATCGGCGTCTTGAAGACAGGGATGCAAGGGAAGAGTTTGAAGAGGCTTGCGAAAGAGAAGGCACTCTGCAAGCATCTTTGGCAGGCATGCTAGAGCTCCGAGCATGACAGCGTAATCCAGGAAAAGCAGCTCCTTTAAAGAAAAGGAAAACAAGATAATTAGATGCTAAAGACATGCATAAAAAAGGCTCTTGACACAGCCAACTGTAACCAGGTAGAACATGGTCAACAGGGCTGTATGCAGCAATTATGTAGAATCAAAAAAAATCCAAAAGCACACACTACCTTAATACTGACCTTCGGTATCCATCCGTCCTGTTCTATCCTCTAGCAGGCTCTCAGTGCTTGCCGAGGTCTCGGAGTCTACATTTTCCTCATCAGAGCCTCTCTGATCAAGCTCAGGTAATCGATAGGTTATATCTTCCCTACATCAAAATACAGATTGTAGCACGCCAGGAGACAGACAACGTCTCAGATATGAGCAAGTTTAAACAGCACATATTTTAGAAGTAAACTTTTTTGCATCTAGTCATTGAGTAATAATTCTCATGGCATTTTCTTTTGTCTACTCCTTTGCATCTTCCTTTCCACCTTCATCAATGTCTACAGAATGTAATTAACAACCATTTTGGACAAAATATACACTGCTTTACTACCTGTATTACCTCCAAAAGCAAAGGCATGAGCTACAGAGGTAAAGGGTGTTCAAAGCTGCGACTTACTTTTCTTCCTTAATTGACTGTATGCGATCAATGAGAATCTCCTTTTCCCGGTTATCAGCCTCATCCTCTTCATGCAGCGAGCCCAGCTCTGCGTTGTTGCTGTCACCTGCTTTGGCCTGGGGGCTTTTACTCTGCAAGATACATTTGTGTGTTGCACTTTACAGCCACAAAGCTATACAAGCCTGGACTGTTTGCTAGTTGCAAGGTGAATGAAATGAATAGGCCAAATGAAGGGCTGATGGAATTCATTAACAGCTGTTAGTTATCCATACAAACATTTCAAAAAAGTAATAGAAAAATTTACACTCACTTGTTACTTTTTTTTTTTGAAGCATAGCAACTTGATTTGCCAGCCTCTATTTAGTTTTAGTAGCTACAATTAAGATTGTTACATCTAATACAAATTAAGTTCAGAAAGTCTATAAAACATCAAAGCCAGGAACATGTCAGCAGCACTGCATGCCATGCAGTTTGGGGAAAAAGTTGCACCAATACATGCAGTCTTGATTATTCAAAAAACATTTAAAACCAAGTTACAATATGTGTAGTAGGTTTTTTAGTCATGCAAAAGAACCAAGTTACAATCTGTGTAGTAGGTTTTAGTCATGCACCCTGCACACAGGCAATGTACATACCAGCATCCCCTCATAAGGGGAGGAAAACCCAAGTTTTACAGGCCAGAGCTAGAGAGAGATGAAGACCAAATTCACTATAACATGACTTCTGAGCATTTTTTTAAGTCACTATATAAAAAAGCACGTTCAACATAATAGAAGACTATTTTTGTCCACCATCCATCTCTTAAGCATAGGAACTCCTTTGCCATGCCACAGGTTCAATCTTAATTCTGCTAATCGAGTTGTAATGAGTAGATTTACACCACTACAGAAGAGGATGCTTCCCCCACCTTCATTTAGCAAACTGAGGCTCCAGTATAGCTGTGCATTTAGCTCTTACCTATAACTTTGGGCAAGTGCAAATCCCTTTTCTCATTATCCCGCCACTGATCTTTGATTTATTGAATGGGATGTATAGGGTAAATGAGCAATATATTCTCCCACAAGGGCTTGCTGGGATGCTTCCTCCTGGACCACGTGCTTCTGTGGCTTACCGTATTCTGCCGGAGCAATGAGAGTCGTCGAAAAGCAATGCTCTCTGCTGCTTCCAGCTGACTTATTTCATTCATTTTTATCTTGTACTTTCTTATCTGCTCCTTTATGAGCATCTCTACACACCTGGAAAAAAGGCCAAGAGATTAAGGAGCAGCCTTGCACTATGGAAGCTCTGGGGATAAGCAGGGTGGGAAGAGATGCCTCACCAAGGCACGGAAGTACCAAACCCTGTCCTTTAACGCATCTGCCTTGAGGATGCTCCACACACGTGTAGACAGCCCACAATAAAAGCCTCCCAGTACGTGCTTTACAAAGGCAGCACTGCACGGTTACAGGGCAAAGGGTCCACCAAGGCAAGTGAAACAGGACACAGACTGTTACAGCTAATGGCCTCCAAGATAACCAGTCTCACACAACACTGGCAGGCAAACAGACATCACGGCTGCTAACTACTGCTGCTCCTCTACCTTTCTTCCCTGTGTTGGCATACGCTGGTGGATAGAGAATGGTCTTTTACCTGCCCTTTTCCACCTCTGCGTTAAAAAAGAAAAAAAAAAGGAGAAGTCATTTTTCAAGCTCTGTTTTCATTGGAAGCAGGTGCGAGGGCAGCCGTGCAGTGCAGGACACCAAGGGCTTTCTGAGCACCCCAGCTGCTGCCTGGTCAGGAGGACAGAAAGGATGAAGGGCAGAACCTTCAGGGAGCAACTCGTAAGCAGCAATGCAGGGGTTTCCAAGTATGCAGGAGACAGTTTATTCCTATATCCTGCTGTTGAAATAATTATGACCTACATCTCAAGTCATGTATCATCAATACACATGCATTGATTATGAAACTTAACACTACCATCACAGAATCTCATTGTCCTGGTCAGAGTTACAAGACTTATGCCATTCATAACTCACACTAATCCCCAAAACATCAAGAAAGTAAAGCACTATTTTACTGTATGCAGCATAAAATTGGGACAGGTGAAAGGACTCAATGGGTGTATAAATCGTCAGCGTTCCAGAGCCAGAATTTAGCACCTCTTAATCCTTGGTTTCTCAGCCTGAGATACACAAGGCTGTAGCAAATGTAGGTGGTAGTACTGGCCCCTCACTGTATTTCAAAGTGCTACTTTGCAGCAAATTGCTAAAACTTACATGGTGGTTTTTGAAACATCCTTCATGCTGGTTAAAGGGTCAGAGGTATCAGGACAACGCAAGAGACACGGAGCAAAAACAATGGCCAGGGCATTGGGTGACATACGGTTGACATCTTCTATCAAAGCCACTCTGAAATTCAACGTGCAGAGAAAAAAAGATTAAGTGCATCTTGCTAGTATAGAAGCAATCTGATAAAACTTTGCCAAAGAGTTCCACAGACAGATTGTGTACAACAGTTCAGGAAACTATTAAAACGAATTTCACATGCACTAAATAGGTAAAGTTTTATGCATCACAAAAAGGAACATGAAGCCACCCAGGCTGTCTGGTAAATTGCCAGCAGAGAACTGCCAGAAAGAAAAGCTCATTACTTGACCAGATGGAAGATGAGTCTCTCCAAGGTATTATGATTTGCTTGAGGAAGCTGTTCAAGGACACTATAAATGGCACAGAGTTGCTCCTGTTTTTCTGGTAGTTCTGCAAGAGGAGAGAAAACACAAGATCACAACTGCTGTCAACCCCAACGGAACACAGGCAATCCCCTTCTGAAGTTGTTCCAACTGAACACAGTCAGAGCCCACCTTCTCAGAAGCTGCTACTTCCACTCCATTTACCAAAAGTTCTGACTGGAGCTTGCAGTACCCCAGATGGCACTGCAATTCTCCTCCTCTTTCATATGTTGTTAGCAAGCACCAAGCGAGACACCAAGCTCTCCAGTGGTATTTAACCTGCCTAACTCACACTCAAATTAAATGAATCTAAAGGAGATTTGAGGTTTGCGGATGCCTAGATCTGATGCAGAACGTAAAGGGGAAGAAAAAGCCAATATAAAGGAAAATATATTTCTAAACCCTACCTACAGCTCGGAGAAAATCGTTGTACTGTGCAGATGTCATTAACGGATCTGGTAGTTCTCGTAGCCATTGCTTAAGGATCCCCGTAATAGTATGAATAGGATAATTCTCCAGTTTCACTGAATTTGGATCTGAAAAACAAGATGTTTCATTGCATTTGATGCATTCTATAGGATCACAGAGAGACATTCCTAGAAAAACACTAAATTCTTTCACCTCTGCTCACAGAATCCAAAGAGCAGCTCAAAAGGAAAAAAGAAAATCTGCTCATAGGCACTTATCAGCTAAGCAGCTTTTTCCAGCCAATACACATCAATGCAAAATGAAAACATGCCCACCAAAAAACAAAAAACTTTTGAAAATACTAAAAAGTGGCAGATGCTTTCATAATGGAAGAGAAGAGGTGGGAAAATTGCTACACAAGAGGGTCTAAAGGGTGGACAATTCCGACCTGCTTGCAGCAACTGTTTCAGCTCCTTCATGCGATTTGCTGATCCTGATTTCCTGTAAATGCCCTCTGTGTAGAGGCCGTGCATCTCCACATACTCCAGCAGCTTCTCCATGACAAGGGGAACTGAGTTTCTCTCACTGGTCAGCGAACTCACACTAACTCCAAAGTGACGTGGTTCCGCATCCTGTTCATTCTAGAATTGATGCAGGTCAAACACCGTGAATAATTACTTCCAGGCTAGAAAACTCAATTGTGTTTCATGCTACAACTAACTTATATTTCCAGAAACAAAAGCTGAATGTTTTATTCTAGATTGCTACAAGCCTTTGATAATAAGGCAAATTCCTCAAGCTGCAGCAGTATGTGAAACTTTAATTTGCACTATATTAGATGTTGAACAAATTGATAAAGAAAACAAAGCACACATGGTCTAAAGGAGCAGTTCCTAAATTGTCTTGAATACCATCCTAAAAATCAAAATCTGCTTTTCAGCAACTGCATGACCTTGCTCTGTGCCTGACTATGTCCAGGCAGAGAAGGGAACCTCACTCTTTTAAGGCAAATTTACAGAGCACCTGGAAATGTATTCATCCCATGCTGAGCAAAACAGATGGGATTTCACATGCATCACTTGTGATATCAGAGCATCAGAGCATAAGATCCCAGACCTACAATAGGATACTTACCTTTTTTCCACAGGATGTGCAGCTGCTCTGGATTTTCGACATGCATTTCTTGTGACAAGTTAACTTGCAAACTAGAGAGAGGAACAATCATTACAAATGGTTCAAATCACATTAAAATGCAAAGTTCCCTGTCCTCTTGCATAACATGCGTGTCCAGTTCCCTAAACACTGCCTGTACCAGCCAAAGCTAAAAGGATTCTGTTCATTCTGCCACGTAAGTGGTAAGGAGGAGATGTTTCCCACTTACCACTGCAGAGACAGGCCTTCTCCATGGGCCAGATGTAGGACGAGCAGTGTTCACATGACTGCCGAATGCTCACTTGGTAGCTGGTGAACACATGACCGTTGTGCTCTTCAATCTAGAGAAAGACACGGAGAAATAATGGATTATTTTACATCTTTTCTTTAGAAATCCACCTACCATGTCTTAAAGATTTCTGTTTTTTTGCAATTACAGCTTAACAGCTTTGACCTTGAAACCAGATTTCACCCTAGTCTAGAGGTAAGTGATTTAGCAAGAAAAACAGAATTTCAGTACAAAATTAGCTCTTTCAAGAACCTTTTTCTTCATGCTCTGAGAGCAGCTGAAGATATGGATTATTTTAAGAGAGGAAAAAAAAAAAGTACTCACTGAACGATCTTGTTTTCGTTTCTTCTTCTGGGCTTTGCTTTGCTGCAACGGGTTACAGAATTGGCATTAATTTTTGCATTTCAGGAATTCATCCCCTGTTCTCCCTACTCAGCTTCTCAGACTCTATTTCACTTCTTTACATTTGGGACACTACCCTGCCCCTCCAACTTGTGTAAGAGTTGTCTGAACTCACACTGACTGTGAACTTAAGGAGTGCTAAAGCAATTCCATCTCCAAAACCTTCAGAGAACTCTAAGCTTTCACAAAAGAAAATACTTCAACACTTCAAGATTCTAAAAATATTAAGAGTAAGTTAAATGGAGAGCAACTCCAAAAGGTGTCTCAGCATTTAAAATTTGTAACGTACAGAAACCACACGTGAAAAGCTTCCCAGAGTATGAAGAAGCCCACTCAAAAGCATTCTGAGGTAGCATGGGCCTCTCACCCTAAGACAGTATCATTTTTTAATTATTCCATTAAGTCAGTAACAGAGTAAGTTTTATACCTTGTGCTGCTCAGATTCCTCTTTTTTTGCATATCCTCTGGTGAATTCATCCAGAAGAGATTGAAAGAGATTCAAAACCAGCTTGACTTCTTTCTCTTCCCTTTCTTTTGCCAGGTTTGTAACTAGAAGCTGGTAATTTTCCACCAGATCTTTGTAGCCGACATGGATATGCCCATTCTGGGGAGTGGGGAGAATTATTAGTCAGAATCAGAAGTTCAGAGATGAGAAATCATGCTCAGATTAAAGTAAAATATAACAGCCCATGACAGAAGTAAGTTAGCATATTTCCCTACTCTGCTGTAGAAGGATACTTGGCAGAGATAGAGTTGGGCTGGAAGAGTGGAAACACTCTTGGCAACTGTCTTAGATGATTAAATACAGTAACAGAAAGAGGCTGAAGACAGTAGCATCCAGCCATTTCTAAAAGTTTTAGAGTAAGTGAGATAAAGGGAAACACCACAATCTGCTTGCCCAACATTACAGCAGAATTCTAGTATGTACACTACAGTGCAGATTTTTTTTCTCAGTATTAATATTCAACTTTGAATTCTGTGCTAAGAATTGCATTTGCTAAAGAGCTGTAGGTGAAGAATTTAAATGGCATATATGATTTATTTATTACCTACCAGTTTTTCACTTTATTGAGATTTACTACTTACAGGGGCGGAGTACATAGTCTTGATATTTCCTCTAAACTTCTCCGTGGCTTCAAAAAACAGACATTCAACACCAGATTTCTGGGAGCGCAAGTCGTTGATCTAAAAGGCAAATACATCTCCATCAAATTTCATTAAAACAGTATATCCTGCTGATGTTAAGTTTCATTCACTGGCTTTATTTAAAACAAGTTTTATGCTTTAAAGCATAGTAGAAACTAACACCTAGAAATGTTCTCTATGGAATTTCAGAGACAGTGAACACTGACCTCAATTTCATCACAGCTGAGCGAACTTTACCTTGTTCAGAAGGAACTCGTCCAGATGTTTCAGTTCATTGGCATTTGCAATCTCACGGATCATGGGAGCTCGCCAATTCTGAGACACACTTGAGATCTTGCTGATCTTAATAGTACGGTTTTTCTTCGCTTTACTACTCTCCTTTACATGGTGGTCTCCTGCTTGAAGGCGACTTGGCTGTCCAGAAGAAGCTGGGAAAGGAATTAATTTGTATTCTGAAGCAGGATGTCAGAATTCTGCAGCAATTGTTTCCTCAGTAGCCATATAAAACAATACAGAATTATTGATATTGGAATGTTTTTAAAGTCCTCCCCCAGCTTCCTGACCATTTGCACATTCTCTGAAGTCACAGAAACTCACCTTCTGAAAATTTCTGGGGTCCTCCCGTTTCTGCAAATAGGACACAAGATACAAAGGACAGGCCATCTCCCTCATCAATCACATCAGGACTCTCCTTCAGAATTTTCTTGTCCGCTTTTTTCCCCAAAAGTCTTCGCAAAGGACTTTTAAATGTAGACCTAAACATAAAGCAGGTGCAAGTCTGTCACACACGTAATGGAAGCTGGCTATATTACCTGAAAAGGCTCATTTCACAGTGCAGTTAACGTCCAAGACAGGAATAACCTCTATTACAGACATTCACTCGGAAATCCAAGCTGCAGACAAATGAATACCAGAAAAAAAGGAAAGAGTCTGAAAGAGCATCTGGACATTCTGATATTTACTGCATGAGAGCACAGCTTGAACGTACACAGAGACAACACATCAGATACTCAAGACACCACTTCTGGCTCAGGAAGCCCCTGAGCAGCAGAATGCCTGAGGCTAGGGAGCAGTCCATGGAAACAGCATTAGATGCTTGCTGTGTTCGTAAGCTCTTCTTTGGCATCCTGTTTCTCCCTCTGGCTAACTGTACTAGAAGGACCTTCAATCTGAGGCTGTGTGGAAGCTCTTAAGTTAAAAAGAATCATTTTAAAGTCACAAGTTACATAAGCAGAAGGGTTTTTTTTTTGCCTCTGTCAAACATTCAGATATCACGCTTACAGTGACACGAAAATCAAGTCAACCACAGTCACTCACACAGCTGGTGTCAACACGTGTCTCTCCACAGTCACGCTCTCAAGACGCCCAAAGAGGACACCTCCTTGTTTCATTTTCTTAAAGGCAGTTCACAGCCACACGCAATACGTACTTAGCATCCATCTGCTGATTTGGTGGCTGTGTGGAAACAGCCAAATCCCCGGTAGCTAAGAGTTCACTGGGCTTCTTTTGCAGAGGATGTTTCTTGATGCCCTTTTCTTCAATTGTATCTGGTGACTGCTACAGTAGAAAAGAAAAATTACTCAGAAACTACAGATACACAGAGAGAGTGAAACAGATTCTTTAAATAGTTTTATAAAAATGAGAACAGAGAAAAAGCTGCCTGCTCAAGAGGAAATCATTCTTCTTACTTACTAGGTATTACCTAGGTTATTCATGCATCTTTAAACTCTACACATAAGAATAATTAGCTATACATATGTACATCTTTCCATAGCTTCAGTACCTGATTCGCAGCAACAGCGTGAGTGAGGGCAGAGAGATCATTTAATGAAGATGAACTCCCTTTCTTTCTGCAAAATTACAAGATTAGTTTCAGGATGTATTTTTCACAGAAGTCTGTAACCTGTCAATACTTTTTAAATATATAAATATTTTTTAAATAACCCATGTACCAATGTTACACCTATAGGAAAAAATCCTGATCAATTCTTGCAAATTATGTTCACATTCAAAATGTATTGGAGAAATAAAAAAACAGGTTTATTATATTTCCTGCTGTAACTGAGGAATGATGCTTGCAAATCGAAAGTCACTAAAATTTTGTTTGTAATGAACAAGACACACAAGGCAATAAACTCTAGGCTATTCTTAAACTGAAGTCTTAACTCTCCATTTATTTTTAAATATTCAGAAAACTCTTTTATGAAAAAGTCACAGTAATGAGGAAGGTGTCCTTACTCTAGCTGATCCTGAGGAGATCGATCCACACGTGTTCTCTCATCCAACGACTGGCTTAGCAGGTCATTGTGACCAACGTCAGACTGTCTCTTTCCTTTCCACTTCTCTCTCTT